AAGAGATCGGACACCTAGCACAAATTTCAGAAGATCCAACTGTTATACACTGTTTACTTTACAGAGCGTCACACCAGGGATGCTCTGTTATTTTGTGCAGAACTCTATGGTTACCAGAGAGTTTTGCCCAAAATACCAGAATGTTGCCATGTGACGTCCCCGGCGTGATGACATCACTTCCATGACGTCATACTGAGGACATCACACCAAGCTGTGGCAGTTGGGGGTGGGGCTTTCCCTGCCAGCCACTTGGCCGGCGATGGGCAGGAGCCTGCAAAATTGGGGGATCCCCCACTCCCACCTGGGGGGCTGGTGACCTTAGTAAAAGCCAAGAAAATACACTGTAATGGTGCAGTAAACAACACTTTCTTCCTTTAGAAATATGCCATCCTGAACAAATCCATTTTATACATTCTGCAAATAATAGATGCACCAGAGCCTTCCTGACCTCCTCAGGCAGGCTGTTCTACCCGATGGGAGCCATGACAGAGAGTGCCCTGCTAGAGGCAACTGCCCATCTCACCCATTTGCAAGGTGGCACCTTCAGGAAGCCTTGCTCAAATGAGTGGCAGTTGTCACACTGGGACATATCAAAGATAATCTAGTTAAAGATGCTTCCATTTTTACAAGAAAAAAAATTGGCAGACACCAAGCAGTGGTTAGATGGTTCAGAAGACTTAATCGGGCAGCTGATCTTAAAAATACATATTTTCATTATTTATTGCACTAGCACTACCAAAAAGTTCTTTCTGTCTGATATCCTTTTTGCAAAAAAACAAAAAACTTCGTTTCTACTGTAAAGCCCTTTTTCAAAAACAAAAATATTGCCAAATCACAACAGCTTAATAGCAAAGACTAACCCAAAAGGCAGGTGCAGAACAAACTTGGAGCTTTCCACCTGGTGAAACCACATGCTGAGCGCCTAAGAGGCAGACATATGCTTTAATATTTCCTTGCACCTTTGAAACATTCACTAGGGTGAAAATAAAACCCTGTACAAGCAGGATTTTAGTTGTTTGCATGATCAGAAATCCTCACATTACCCACAACCTTACAAAGCCTTACAAAGCATTCTGCAACAAGCTACTAAGAAGTCAGTACCGGGGGGGGGGGGGGGGGGGGGACGGGGGGGGGGGGTAGAGCACTCCCACTGATTAAAATCAAGATATTAAACCACATGCTTATATCGGGGGGGGGGGGGTTGTTCCCTAATCACTTAACTTTTGGCTGGATCGTGCCCTTTAAACAGGAACAGCCTCCAAAATTTTGCGCAGAATTTGGACACAGAAATGCTGTTCTAGCAAATCCTGCTCTAAAAACCAAAGCAACATTACAAAAAATCTGCTGTGAGAACATGATCCGCCTTGCTCTTCCACTCTGGGTGAGAGTTTTAATTGTTGCCATGCTTACATCAATACACACCACGTAAAAATACACAATCTGCATGCTCGCATGTTTTCCAGTGCTTCCCATCTAACCTGGTACATCCTCATGATATTAAATTATTTTGCCCCAATCCATAGCCTTGAGCAATCTAGGACAATGCATTGCACAAGAACGGTGAACTCTGCAGCACCAAGAGACTACAAATCCACAGCTTCAGTGCAAATTGGAGCAAAAGCCCACAGGTGAAAGAAAGCATGCAGGACCTGGAACAAATAATAAGAGAAGGAAGGGCAACAACCCTGAACACGCTGATGGCATATTACATGAAAGTCAGCTGGGCTGATGGCCCAGAACTCAACAAACAAACAAAAACAGTGTACCCCTGTAGTTTTCATGCATCACTATTCGTAACTGTAAATCGAACACAGAAATGTTTCTTTTTTTAAAAATAGTGTAGCCTTAAAGGGAGTTACATAAATGCCAGGCAATCATTGCTTTTGGGCAAATAGCTTGACAAATTCATCGGCTGAATTCAGAAGATCTACCAAACCACGTGCTTGTTTAGTTCAAGAACAAGCCTCTGAAATCCTGGGGCTTCCACCCACTCTCCTACACACCTCTGAGATTACAGGCTTCCCTGGAGACGACAAGTTGCAATTCATAAGGATGCCCCAATTAAAAGCATTCTGCAACTGTGGTTTGTTCCTTGTTTTCAAACCAGGATTCTAAATTGCAATTTAATCCTCTCTTAGAAATGTGGGTTTGTAGGCAAGAAACAAAATCACAATTTGTAACGCAACCCAGCAAACCTTCAATCTCCACGTGGCGTAAGCAACAAGAGGAAGGATGCATGCAAAGCAAAAGACTTCCAGGGCTCGTATCTGGAGCAAACAAATCCAGAATTGTTTGGCTGCCTGAATGCAGGAACTGTTTAAATCACTCTGCTGAAGGGAGGTAGAAGAGCTGGCAAAACAATTCCTTCTGAGGGCTTCTCCTCCTATATAAATCCATATGGCACCTGCCCTTTGGTACGTTCATGCTGTAAGGCCCCAGGGCAGGCAGGGCCTTCTCACCTGCGGAATGCCCTCCCCAAGCAGGTCTGCCAAGCAACTTTACTGTTGTGTTTAGAAGGCTGGAATGAACATGTTTGTTCAGCCTGACTTTTGAACTGCTATCTATTGATGCAGTTGATTTTGCCCAGTTTGATACACTTAAAGATAAAGGTTCCCTTGCTCAAAAGCCAGTCGAATCCGACTCTAGGGTTGCGGTGCTCATCTCCGTTTCCAAGCCGAAGAGCCAGCGCTGTCCGAAGACGTTTCCGTGGTCATGCGGTCAGCATGACGAAACACCAAGGCACACAGAACGCTACCTTCCCACCGAAGTGGTACCTATTTATCTACTTGCAATTTCTTGCTTTCGAACTGCTAGGTTAGCAGGATTGATACAGTTGATTTTGCCCAGTTTGATACACTTAATCAAAATTAGAGTCCAGTAGCACCTTAATGACAAGAAAAAATGTTTGGTGGGGTTTGAGCTTTTTTAAGTCAAAACTCATTTAACTCATGAAAGCTTTACACCCTAGGAAATTGTACTGGTTCTTAAAGGTGCTGCTGGACTTGAATTTTGTTCCGCTACTACAGACCAACACGGCTGCCCATCTGAAACCCTGACCTGGGACTCAACAGCAAGGCCATCTAGAATTCTTTTTTAAAAAGTAGTAATAGTTAAATCTCCTGGCTGCCTTTGGCCACTCGCTTTTTATAATCCATACCAGGAAAAGTGATGTTGAAAGTGAGTGATATGGTCTATGAGAATATTCATACTGGGGTCAGGAAACAGGGTTGTCGCAACTTTGGGGTTCCTTTTTCAACTACTGGTGCAACTGCATCTATTTAAGCTGTAAAATGCAACATCAGTGGGGTGGGTGTAGCTTAGTACTGCTGTTCTTTTGTGGGGGTTTTTTCATTTACAACATTCCTGTATCAATTTTCCATGCAAATGATTCTGAGTTATTTTTCTACAGCACCACATGTGGTGTTTCCATTTCTCCTCTGGGTGTACCTTTTAAATTTAACACCACAGAGCAATGACTGTCAAAAGTTCACATGCAGAACACTGGCTTATGGGGAGTACTGCTTCACGACAAACCAGAGTCTCTCCAAATCCAGTGAGACACCTATTTGCTTCCTAGCCTGTCTCTCCATAGTCACTGTCCTTAACAAATGGACAGAACAGCAAAACAAATGGGCGGAAAACTAGCCTTGCAAGCCATGGTCATCAGAGGGTTTGTGGCTGAGATTCTCCAAATCCAAAAAGGGAAAAAAAAACCCTGCAGCAAAAGAAAAGTGTAGAAACAGGGCTAGCCGGCTGGACTCTAGTAAACAAGCCGGATCATTCACCGCCTGTGCCCATAAATTCTAAGAAATTAAGTCTGGGTGTGTTCGTGTATGGCTTTTTGAAAGCACACAGTGCCAAAACCACTTCACGCCTATGCTAAGCACATTTCATTAGACCCATTTCCCCCCAGTATTTCATTCCTAACTGAACAAATCTCCAGGAAGATATCTCCATGCCTTCTTGCCGACCGAAATCTCATGACCTCCCTCTTTCCACTCCCCAATGGAAAAAAAGAGCAATGCTAGCCAAGTGCACAGAACCTACTAGTTCCAACGGTGGGAACACTCTAGGGGATATGCCATTAGTGCTAGATGTTCCAGTACTAGTTTAGAAGAACAACCTCAGCATGCATTTTTGAAAAGGAGGGGAGGGAACCCAACGTGCCCAGCCGCACAGACTGAAAGTATTTCCTCCACTTCAAAGCAGACAGCAGCAGTGCCCTGCTAACACCTACAGCCAGCTCCAAAAGCTGGCCTTCCAGCAGCCTGGGTGCCGGATCTGCTTTCGAGGTAGCAGTCATACAAAAGCTCTTTTGAACATGACTGACATGTCCTTGCAAGAAACCCAATGCATTAAAACAAGGCAGCCCTAAAAAAAGAACAGGTCACTTATCCAATCATACTTAAGGCTCTTTGTTTCAATGCTTCTTTCCCAGGCATTCCCAAGCTCTCCAATTCAGACTTTCCCAACAGCAGCCAGAGGCTCACCCGCTCCAAAGCTCATCAACAGAACTAACACTTCTTAGAAAATGTACGCACAAGATAGACAGAAGGGAGGGAGAACAACTCCACACGCACACACCAGTCAACAAACGAGAGAATCACCCTGGTCCATCTCCACTGGAAAGTTCAGCCTCAAACAGACAAACAAGAAATCCTTAGTTCTGACAGCTCTTCAACACAGCAATATTTGGTTATTAAGTTCAGAAGACTGGGGGGGGAGAAAAGCCCCAAGGCTTCTTCAGCCAGACGCACAATGACAGAAGAGTCCACGAGGAGATGGTTGGACTGGAAAAAGGCATTCGTTCATACGAAGCAGAGTTCTTCTGTGATCCTGAAGGACTTTAAGATACCAGGTACTCCAAATCTTTAAAAAAGCCTCCAAATTCCTCTCCACCACCGCCACCCCCAACTCCTCCTTTCAAAATGTGAACTGCCCAGCAACAACGAGACCATCTGAGTGCGCCTAAAATCCTATTACTGATTCTTCCTTCTTACCTTAGGTTGAGCTCGTCGGGGAAATGCGACTTTAGGATCAATCTGCATGGGAGGAAAAAAGGAAAGCAACATAATTTGTGGGTTTTCTTCGGAAAGGCAAAAGAGGAAAAACATACACTAAATGATTAATCCCTCATTTCTCAGGTAGGGAGAGCCATTTGAGAGCAACTGATTGGTATCAAGGCTAAAGGGAGGAAGAATTAAAAGAAAATGAACCCATATATTATGGAACGGACAGCAAACTTGAGTCTTCAAAAGGTATAGCCCGGAGTTCTCCATAGCCAAACCCGCCCACCGAATTTTGGATGACAAACCTGGAGATATCTTTTAGAAAGAAATTCCTTTTAATTTTCAAACACACCATCTTATGGACATTAGTAAGTTTTTTTTTTTAGAGGGAGTGTTGATGTTTCCTGCTTCAGATTAAAAATAGCATTCTAAGTGAACGTTCAGTTAAAACAACTCACAAGAAATGCACTTTTACAACTGCATTCCTGATTTAGCTTTTAACAGTCACCCGAAAACCATTTCTGAACACAGAAGAAGCCATTAACTTGGATGACTGATGCTAGCCCTCGGTGAAAAGGAGCCACCTATACAGGGAAAGTCTTATTGTGTTAAAAAAAAACCCTGCTTAATCTGACACCATGTTATGGAGAGGCATGGGGCCATCTGCATTTTTTCACTGTATGAACAAAAGCAATCAAGCTCTAACTATCACTGATAACGGCCATGCAGCTTTGGAGCCAAAACTGCAGGTTCAGAGCAGCCGTTTACACAAAAATGAAGATCGGTCACATAGCAAATTGAAGAAAACGCTAATAAAATACCTCATAAAATCTGAGATTCTAAATTCACTCTTTCAGAGATGCAAGTTATCCATTAAACTTAGCTACCCAGTAAATATGTACGGGACCAAAGAAATACAAGTCTCACTACCTCCTGGACATCACCTGAAATATTTAGGAATTGCTTTGTGAAAACAAATCCTACACCCACCTGAGATATCTTTCTAAATGTATGAGCGAAAGCTAGAAGACATGCACATTATCACAGAAGCTTATAAATGGCTTCCAAAAAGAACTTATCATCGTGATTCTGAGCATGTTACTGAGAAGAGTACAAGTGTGTTTCCAAGTGGCCGGGTGGAAGCTCTTTTTCAAGAAGACGGTTGTACCCATTTTAGAACTAATGTTTGCAAGCCATTATTGTCAACTGCTTGTAAGATGGGGGTCGCCGCTGTAAAGCCTACCTTCTATTTGCATGCAGAGGCTGAATGTTAACTCTCAGTCTGGGGGGGGGGGAATAAAAAGTTTTGCTCAGCTGACGGATGACAGCAGAACCGCTTCCATGGGTTAAGAAAATATGCCTTTGTTGCCTCCACAATAGAGGATGTTTGCAATTTGCTCTTTGTTCAACAACTGGCCTTTCTCGTGGGTATGTGCTATCACACCCTTTCCATATGAGAACAAACTTTTAAGAAAACCATCTACCTGAGAAATGAGTGATTACATGCCACTGTATAATTCACAAAGCAGAGTAATCGAGAGAACTCATAAATACTTCATCTACGAAGCCAACCCTTTCATAGAGATTAACATTATCTACATATGTATTCAGCACTGGCTAGGTTCTTGTCTACCAGAGAAATACAACAGGTGTAGATTTCCCCTTGAGTTGCCCAAAGAATTTGGGGGGAGGGGTGAAGAGTTAAGGACAAACATACAATTGTTCTTTGAACTCCCAGTAAAGTTTGAACTGTTGCTTTTTAAAAGCAGAAAATCAAGCCAGTGGAAAAGAGAAAACTGTACAGTGAACTTGAACAGAATTCCCACAATGTTGTTTTTGAGATTTTCCACTGGCACACAGTTTGGTATGCCTTCTAGTTCTAAAACATGATACACAATACAAAAACATCTGAAATTCAACAAAAATGGGTGCTCTTTGCATGGGCAGGGCTTCAACTTTTTTCAAACCAAAAACAGTGCTTTGCAGCCCAGGGCATCCTTCAGCCTTACTTGTGGTCAGCATGGAAAATCCATACCTGTTGCACTTCCCTGTCAGCTATTGAAGATAAAAAAAGAAAAAGAAAAACAGCCAATAGAAACATAAAGTCTACTAAAAAAATTAGTTAGTTAGATACAAAGCTACTTACTGTATCTACAAGTCCTCTAGGAAATGACTAGAATAATAGTACTATTTCTGATACGAATGGCCATTACCTAGACCAAGCTTTAAACGCAACGCCTTCCATGTCAAAACCCAACCGAGCTGTTTCCTGTGCTGAACGTTGAAACAGAGTCAAACGCTAGGCAATGCTGAATGACAAGAAACTATCAGAGGTCTACAAGTCAGCAGCTAATAGGCGAGAACTTGTCTGAGCTTTTAATTCTGGAACAAAAGCGGTTCAACAACAACAAAAAGGGGCCTCCCGCACCGACACCCTCAAGCCTGAGAGTGCATCACAACATAATCAAACAGAGGTCATCTTCTCTTGCTTGATGACATCATAAATCAAAACAATGCAGGCACTCCTGGGCCCGTTTCCTAGCACTCTCCCCTCCCCAGAAAGTTACTATGGGAACAAAGCTTAAGTATACACAGTGGCATGCGCATCCCTTGCGAGCCTCTTCTTTCTCTCCCTTTGCTGGCTTCCCCCCTATCAGGTTGGGGTTTTTTTAAATTGTAAACCCCTGGGGGGGGAGGCAGATTTGCCTTCTTTTTGCTTCTCTATTGTATGTCCTGTATGCTAATGGCACTGAATAGACATATATCATTAACAGATGAGGATTTAATCTCATGGGTAGGTAAGAGTGCAACCAAAATAGCTAACTTCTTTCCCAGGACTTGGATGAATTTTTTCACATTGCAAAACAGATTTTCTTCCTCCTTGAGTTTTTACTTAGGCTTATTGCTAACACATAAAAATGTACCACCTCTCTCTCACACTCTCTGTAGCACCACAAAAACCATATGAACTGGTCTCTCATCACCTTTTGCCACCAAATCAAGTCATTAAGAAAGGCTCCAGCACAGGGTACATGCTCAGACAAGCCCAGCAGAATTTGTCCCCTAAGTTAAAGCAACTCCAAAGGGGGGGGGGGGGAATTCCACCTGTGCCATGCTGGGCAGTGGGAGAAAAATGAAAATGCCAGTTTGGTTTCTAACCTTTTACTTTTAAATCATCATTACAAGGCAGAACTTTGTAGCATTATAAACATAACCCCTTTAATGCTTGTGTTTGAATGAAAATACACATTCTTACAAACTAGAATACAAAGGGTTTTTAAAGTCATTAAAATAGCTGATTTTGTGTATTTCCTTAAGTATCCTGTTAGCTGTATCAGACTCCCCTCTCCTCTAAAAGCTGTACCCCCAACCCATCACAGAAGCACCAATGACCTCAATGTCCTTTAAATTATAAGTTTGCTCAAAGCTTGTTAATGACTTGCAAGGGAACTAAGAAACAGCAGGAGAAATACTTCTGTCTGTGCAAGGTTACAACTTCTAAAAAAGGTTCTGGCTGAGCATGTAAGTTTCTTATAATGAAACTTAGCTACTAGCTGATACCCACCCAAAACTGTGCACATTATCATTCTTCAAAATTAATTGCTAAAGCTGAAATTGGGAGGATGAAAAAGGCACCATGATTTGGGGGATGTTCTCCAGGGGATCTGGCCAGCTAATAAACATTTTACCAAATTGTTTCTAAGTTATATAAAGCCCAAATGAGCTTTCAGGCTCAGCAACAGCCTGGGTTTTCTTCAACAAAGTTAAGGAATTAATTTTAAAAAGCTAGCAGACTTGTGCTTTGAGCAAACTCAACCAAAGAAAAGGGACACTGTCTCTTTAAATAAGCCTGTCATAGTCATAATATTGCAGGAAATAAAGGAGACATTAAAGCACAGAGCCGAGAGCAAAACAGCAATGCCACCACGTCATGTAACATACCGTCTTGGAATCTAATTCATGATGGGGTTGAGCTAATACTTTATCTACACTTGCCGGATCTGCAAATGTAACAAAACCAAAGCCTCTGAAAAAAAAAAGAGACAAAAGCCAGTGGGAAAAGGAACAGCAAGAACTAGAGAGGGGGGGGGGAACAGACAGAAATACAAGATAAAACAGCTTCACTCTCAATTATGATTCTCTCCCACTTCAACCTGCCACGTCTACCCCACTTAATAATCTAAGACTCAAAAAGGATAAAAAGGCAGACCCCACATCTAATTTTTCCAGCCCTCTCTTGTACCCCACCCCTTGTCCAAAATACACCCACATTTTCACACTCAATTCATCCTGCTTTTAAAAGAAGTTAAGAACTGACAGGGTATGACCAACGCTGGTTAAGAAAGCTAGAGATACTTCAAAACAATGAGAGTAAGTTTCTGCAAAAGGTACTCTGTAACATTTCACATTCCCACCCACCTCCACCCCCACTAGAATCCTGACCAATGTCAACAGCAATAAATAAGAAGCTGAACTTCAACCAAAAAGAGTTTTGAAGTTATTCTGAAAAAGGATTTCCACTCCCAGCAATTCTTATTTTGTTTGTTGGCACTTGGTATACAGAAAATAAAACAGCCATACTTTCAGGCCACACACACATTAAGGAAAACTTTGATTTAAAAGAAGTGAGACACTTTACCTGGAACGTTTTGTAGTTGGGTCTCTCATCACCATACATTCTCTAATGTCTCCAAATTTGCTAAAATAGTCTCTAAGGTTATCTGCGGGCGGCGGGAAGAGAAGAGAAAGAACATGAAAGAAGATGGGGGAGTGAGGAAGGGTTAAAAAAAAAAAAAGATAAATCAAGGAAACAGAACAGCACCATTTCAGCCCCTCCAAAACACAAAAGCGAGATTTAATGTGCTTTGAAAGAAGAAGCCGGGAAAGAAGAGAGCGGCAACCGTGAGACGCCTCTTTTGCTTTCTCTTCTTCTCTCCCCCCCCCCCCCCCCTCCAAACGGCCGCCCCGCAAAGAAAAG